TCTGCCAAATATTTAACTTGAATAACAGAGCCTGCTCTTAATTCTCTCAAGTAAAAAGAGGTAATTTGCAAAAAAAAAAAAAAAATACAAGCAGCTTCAACTCACAGTTCAAACATTCATACAAATACTTTTCCTCTGGGTGTCCTCCTGTGTCTGTATGTAGTGGGAGTGATGTTTGATCAGGGACATCCTTAAATGAAAATGGAGTTCCCTTTCACTGTGAGTGTGTGCTGGTGAAGGATACAGTGACTTTTAGTACATTGGTGGTATACTAGCTCCTTTGACTTATGCCAAGATGCCAGCAGGTTAACTCATCATTGTTACACCATTGGTGAAAAAATCAATGCTCTTAAATGTTGATTTTAGTATGTGTAAGGAAATAGTTTGGACTCTGTGACACCTTAAGAGAGTCTCAGCAACCCTCAAAGTTTGGAAATCACAATCCGTCTGTATCATAGTGGTAATATAAACGTTTTAACAATAGACCATTTTTCTAGGTTAACCAAAGAGAAATTTAACATGCTTATATTTTGGGCTCTTAGATTTTTCTAATGTAAACAGTGGACATTCTTTTCAAAACTTAACATACAAATTGAAAACAAAAGAATGAAATTAAAGTTCAGAAGTAGCTGTTGAATTTATAAAATATCATATTTAAAATTGAAGTTTACACCTGAGCATATGGAACTCATTTTTTATTTAGGAAATAATTGCATTGTGTCTTACATAAATACTTTGTTTTCAAAATCTCTGATTATATTACTGCTCTAAGGTAATTGAATCCTCATTAATTCGAAGAAACATTTTCTTGCATTATTATTCACATGATTTTCCTGCATTATTTTGAAGATGAACAATATTTTTGCATCTTATTGATATTTCTCTCTTTGTGCTTTATCACTTAGAGGCATCATTTCTAGTAGTTTGTGTCAAATGCTTTTTAAAATCAATTTATTGAATCAATTTCTGGAGTAGAGCACTATAAAGATTAATCTCCATATGTGAGCTCCTTGTCTCTTGAAACCTTGAAGCTGTGTTTTTCAGATGAGATCATAGCACTTCTAGTCTTGCACTTCACTTTTCCCTCACTGCTCATCAGGTACACTATGAGGGAGTGGGCACATAGCTCAGTGGTTGAGCATTTGCCTGGCATGTGCAAGGCCCTGGGTTTAATTTCTAGCCCGGCAGTAAATTTTTAAAAAACAAAGCTACCATACAATACAATAAAATTGCATAAATTAGAATTCTGAATCTCCTGTGAGTACTTAAGGCAAAATATGCAACCATCCTGTACCCTTGGAAGAATTTGGACATAGAATAAGACCTATGATTCAATTAAATTTAGCCACATTGACCTATTCTCACAATGGCCAATAGAGGGGGACACAGGCTAAGAAACGTGACTGCAGTAGTTTTTAGTGTTTACTGACATTGTATACTTCTGGGTGTTTATTTACTTGACCACAATTCTAACACATAAGGAGAATTCATATACTTAACAGCTATTACCTTATGCAAACTCAAGAGGAACCTTACCATATTGTGAAAGTGAATGTAGTTTGAATTAATGTTTATATTTTGCACCTATCAATTTATTATTGACAAAGTACAGATGTTTGGATTCTACAAATATGAGGCAGAATTCAAGCTTGAAAAGAAAAGGGTTCTTGAAACTTTTTATAGTTCTTAAGTGAAGATTTAGTGCCTAGTTTTCAGTTTAGTTAGGAATATGTGTTCAATCATTTAGATCCAAAATCTAGTCTATGAAAAATTGTCACACATTAAATTTCTTATTTTGGCCAAAGGACAGAAAACTTTAAAAAGTCTGATGCTTCTGTACCAATGACATTAGTGATGCCATTTTTATATTTTCTCCTTAATTCAAAACTACTTGTTTAGTACTTAAGAACACCTTTCTTTATTTAAATACATGAAGAATCAAAAGATACATGGATATATAAAAAATCTTCATATAATGTTACTACTTATTTGTCCAGAGTAATAATAAATCTGAGTGTTCTCACTCAACCTATATTTAATTAATTTAGAGTTACACTAAACTTCTTTTTAAAGAATAAGAAAATAAGTGCATTGAACATTATGACAAAAATTAAAGGTAGTTTTCTTTGATTCTGAAAGCAATTTGGAATCAGAGAAGCACATCAAGGTTAATATTTGTAATAATACAACCAGCAAAATTTAGCATACTTTCTAGTAGTTTGTGTAAATGGAAATAAATGATATTTAAGTTTATGTGGGTAATTATGTCTTTTTCTCTATATTTAACTCAGTAAACTTTGAAGGTTTTTTGAGATCAAGAACTATCTTCATTTACTACATACTCCTAGTTTCCTATAATAACTTTGAAACAAGTTTAATTTTAGCTTTCTTTTACAAATTTATGACTCATTACAAAGTGAAATTATATATATATATATATATATATATTTTTTTTTTCTGAAAACAAATTCCAAGAAATAAAGTAACACAGAACTTAGAGAAAATGGTGAAGAGAATCCTAAATCTTGTTCTCTCTATAGGTTTCCAGGGACAACTAATCACGAAATTGTTTTTCTTTTGTTTTTTTTTTTTATTGTAATAACACATTTTATTAACCTAATATATCCAAAATATTATTTCATCAGGTTAAAGGGTTTGTTTTCTAATGTAAGCTAAGCAAAATGTCAGCTCTATCCAACAAATGATACATATTTATTAAGCAGAGCAAACAGAGATACATACCAGTTCTTGGAGAACAAGAGTAGGTAGCATGACTAACGGTCTTGGATAATGCCCAAATGCAATTTAAGTGATAATTTTATCCATTTCTCCTTATAATCTCTCACCTTTTCATGATAACTAACCTAGCAAAAGACTCTTTTATGTTTCTCCATTGATTTCCCCCTGCCTAGAATCAAGCAGAAGTGCTAATGAGTAATAAAACAGCCTAAGGCAGACAGCAGGATAGGAAACAATGAATTTGATTCATCAATCTGTCCTGAATAATCAAGATGCTATAATATTATCTGTGATATATCTAAATGATGGGGATATTTTTCATTACAATCAGCCTTAATTTTATCTAATCAAAAGAGTATACATTCTAAGTGACTTTGGGACCAGTGCCTTTTGGAAAGAACATTAATTATCACTCTCCACTGTCCTCTGTAATTACTTAGCATTTGCCAAAATTCCTAATCAAGCTGAAATTGAAAATAAAATATTTGCCTTCTTAAAACCTTTTTTTCCAGGAGGACAGTGTACCATTGTTATTTTTTTTTTTTTTTTTATCTTTTTGCTTACCTTTGATAATAGAATTTGCCAAGACTGTGTCTCATTTTTCCTTGTATTCATAAGACTTATTTCTGTCTGTTGGTTTCAACTTGGATCTCTTCATGCCAACTCCCAAATGTACATTCCTGGTGCTAATGCCTTACCCAGGCTCTAAGTCTGCTATTCTCAGATACTGCCTTCTTAATCACCAAACTTGCACTTTTCTCCAAATCTGAGTGGACCTCTCAGTGGTAATTACTCATATCTGGGTACTGCTGTCTAGTGAAAATAAATGACCTTTGCCATCTTCTTCAGCCAGCCCAGACTCCTGCCTATGCTGCACTGCCTTCAGCCTGTTCACCACCCTTGAAGCCACAGCAGAGTTTTCAGAACATACAACAGGCCCTGCCAAACCCTTCCTCAAAACCAAAGGGGAAGCTGTTTCCAGCTTTCTTTCCTGCACTTATCATGCCCTGTATGAACTTCCCACCCTTTTTGGTGTTTTGATCTACCTTTTGCCTTTCCCTGGCTTTTGTACTCTGCTCTGGATCATTGTAGTAGACTGCTCGCTGGTCTTTTTGTCTGGATGTTCTTTCTGAATTCATTCTTTTTTTGTTGTTTTCATATTAGATTGAGTCCACACTTCTCAGTCTAGTATTAAAGAATAGACCTAATATTTACCTTATCTTCCATCACTGATTGTTCCATGCTTAATTTAATAAAGTTCATTGCTTCACTATCCTATTCTTTTTTCATTCCTGTTTTCTCTAGAACATACACTTTTATACCCATTCTAATATCATAATTCCATGTGCCTTTCCACCTGTATGCATCTTTCCATTCTCTTCACCTGGAGTACCTTTTCTATTCATGTTAATGAAGTGAAAATGGGCTTTGGCTTTCTACCTCTCAGTCTAGCTTTAAAATCTCCATTTGTTTCTCTCTTAAGAGTGTTCCCCCCTCACCCAGTGGGGAGATTTTCCAAGACTAATGAATGCCTGAAACTACGAATAGTACTAAATGAGTATATGTACTGTTCCTCCCTTAGCCTTTCACCTTTTTACTTAGAGAAAGAGCTTTATGGCTCCTTTTTGGCATATCTGAATTGCCAGCATAACTGCTCTTGTACTTTTGGCCTTTCTTAAATAAAATAAGGGTTTCTTGAACACAAGCACTGTGCTGCTGCAACACTCAGCCTGAAAACGGAGACATCTCTTAAGTGACTAATGGATGGGTATCATGTACAGTGTGTATATGCTTCGCAGAGGGCTGGTACATGGATTGGGGGGAATAGGGTGAGATTTCATCATGCCATCCTCAGATTGGTCCTGAGTTTAAAACTTATGAACTGTTTATTTCTTTAATTTTCCACATCATATTTTTGGACCACAGTTGACTATAGGTAACTGAAACTACAGAAAACAAAACTGTGGATGGGAGGCTGTATAATATGGAGATTATCTCTGTCTTATGTTGATTAAATCTCTGCACTGCAGTCTTATTTTTTAGTTGTAGTGTATTTGTCAATTCTCCAGAAATTTTAGAGCTCTCAAATTTGGAATAGCCACTTGTGCTAGTCTTCTGGTAAACATTATTTACTATAGATCTTGGTGGATGACAGTTGATTACTTGATTAAAAACTTCATGAGCATTACTTAACATTTTTTTCCATCTTCTGTTTTTGGAATATTTAAACCTTATCTCTCTCTTTCTTTTTTTCCTCCTAGAAAGTCATCTTCTAAACAACATACAACTTTGTGAACCTAAAGAATTTGACCATTCCAAGTCTTAATACCACACCACTACTCCAGCAAATTTGTGCTATGGCTGGTAACAGTGACCAGAAGCCTGAAGAATTAAAATGCCAACACCAAACCTTACCTTAACAGCTCTGGTCTGTACCATTCTCGCGCATTTTTAATATATTTTGTTTTATAACCACTTCTAAATATTCTTGGGTTTTTTTCCCTTTCTTTTTTCTATTTTTTTTTTAATTAAGTAGTTTCGTTTTATTTCCTGTTTACTTTGTGTGCAACTACCTGCTTTTCATGACTCATTTGCTTAAATGACAGTGAACAAAGCCAGCCTGGGCTGGTACGGTGCTGTTCACTTGAACAGGTGCTGTTGTGCGGAAAGGAAACTCTGTGACTAATTTAGATAGTGGGTTTTCTTCTTCCAGATTCTTTCCATTGAATTCTTACAGTCAATATTTACAATTTTCAGATTGCAGTAAATATACTGTATGAGAAAAATATTAATAAGATTAAAAGCATTTCTTACATCTTGGAAAATTTTCTAATGTTTGAGAATTTCACTGGGGATTTTTTTTATATTGAACCCTTTTGACTTTCCAGTCTTGTGACTTTTTACTTTTAGTAAAGAGTCAGAAAATCTTCAGACTGGAGAATTATGAAGTTCACTGACCATGCACTGTGCTCAGAGATGCACCCCAGTGCCAGTGCTTCTCAGACACATGCTCTTCGACAGCATTCCAGAACAGGAGGGAAGAGAAGAGAAATCTGTTTCTTCCCTTCTACTAAAAAATTCAGGCAGCTTAAAACCTTAGTGCTTTCTTTTTTAACATTTCCAAATTTCAATACTTTCCATTATTTGAACACTTGGATAGAACACTTGCTTTGTATTAAACCTCCTTGTCTATGTGTAAAACTGACCTTTTGTTATTGAGCAAATATCTCTTTCAGATAGTTTGATGATTCACACAGGTTTGAGGATGCTGAGAGAAGGGTAGGGGACTGTGATGGTTTGCGTTGGTTATAAGAAAGCTATACCATTTAAAGGTGACACCAGAGACCTGATAGGGACTTATTAACTGTATTGAAAATTTCTTCCTTTGCTTTTGACCCTATGTATAGTTATGATGCCAGATTAGATTTATAGCAGCTTCTTCAAGTTGTATTAAATGATATTTTGCTTTCTGTAATACTGTTATAAAATAAAGTTTTGTTTATTCTCTAAACATGTTGCTTTTCCTTTTTTATTATAAAGGTTTTAAAAAATAAATTGGGAGTGATGTTTTCATCAGAAGTCCTACTAGTATTTTGCAGAATACACCATTTTAAAATTCCGTTTTCCACTCTTTTGTAATTTTGATGCTGCTGCCAGCATCACTGAGTTGAAATGGTGAAAGCAATGTTGAAAGTTTGTAAATCTAATGTTTAGCATGCCAGATTCTTTCCGCCTGCTTAAATAGTATCCCAGCTTTTATAAATTCTCCAAGGGATATTTTTGCTTGCTTCCTTTGTATATTTTTTTGTTTTGTTTTGCTTTCAGAAACTGTTTTAGTTGTACCATCTGAATCCTGCTTCTCTGTTTCATGTGCTTTTTAACTTTGTGTGCACTCCACCTTAACCTATCAGGCAGACCAGACTGCTAGGGTTGGGGTGGGCGGCTGCATCCAAGTCTGATTAGGAGGGTTTATTGCAAAGATTTCACCCAGGCACATCAGATGATGTGTTAAATTTTCTTTTAAACGCTGTACAGCAAATGACAAATGGTATATTTCTTTTCAAATGTTATATAGAATTTCTCTTGTAGTCACTTAAAGTGAGTGCATTAAATATAATTTGCATAACTTGTCTTTGAGATCTGTTCCCACTAAATTATTGTGAAATTGTGAAGGCCCTTTTCACTTTCTCTCTAATTCTTAGAAAAACAACTCCTCTCAGGAGAAGCATATCTCAGGAAGCCAAGGCTTAGAAATATGAAACCAAATATGATTCTGAAAATATATTTCTCATCAGAAAGTTTTTATGTGTAGTATAGTTAAATCATAGATTGATCTCCCCAGGGGTTTTGAGAACCATATTCTTTCATGTATCTAATTATAATAGCAGTGATTAAAAGAAAGTTTGTCTTTACAGCACCTATGGACTCTAGGGAATGCAGGGTGCTGTGTTCATTTAGGGCTCAGTTTTACTCAGCTGAGAAAGCAAGGACAGGTTGACATTCTGGAGCCATTGAGAGCATCTTTGAGGACTTAGTATCCAAAGAGCCACTTGGAAAAAATGTTGATAATCCCATGTGTGACATCAGCACGGGTGTCTTTTTAAATATTTTGTATGTCTTAGGATGTCATGATCTTACTTGGTAAACTGAACTTTGACAGCTCCAAATCATAGAGTAAATAGGAACGTCAGCGAGGTTTTGAGATAGGGATTTGAACAAGTTTAATAGGTGGAAAGAATATTTCTGAATTCCTAGTCTATTTAATTGAAATTATAAATAAAATTTTTGATTATATGGTTCTTGCTTCCTTCTGTTTGTCACCCATGTCAGGATAGATGCCACTGCCTCAATGCTGATAAAAACTCAAGAGGTCTTTTCTGATTAGCACATGCTAGTTATAAAGTCAGAAAGCAAGAATCTCTCTCTCTTTTTTTTTTTTTTTAACATTTTTTAGTTGTAGTTGGACACAATACCTTTATTTTATTTATTTAATTTAATGTGGTGCACAAGGATCCAACCCAGGGCCTCGCACATGCTAGGCAAGCGCTCTACCGCTGAGCCACAACCCCAGCCCAGAAAGCAAGAATCTTATGAGCATAGTTTGAAAACTTTATAAACACAAATCAGAAAATTGATTTACAGAATGTTTGACATGAATTCTGAGAGTTTATTAGTTACGAGTTCTGATATCTGAGATTTTTTTTTTTCAACCAAATAAGTTTTCAAGGGAAATCTGTTCTTGATTTTTACTATTGCTACTAGAAAATTCTAGAAATTGTTACCTGGCCAGATTATAGTTATAAGCATTTAGCTCTTTACAAGTGTCATCGCAAATAGTATTTCAGAGAGCATAATGTGTGCCTCTCTATGCCCAATTTTCTGTTTTATCAACAATACAGCATTGGAATATGGAATATCCACAGATTGGCAGTCCCTCTCTGTCTTTGCAAACCATCTTTTTTTTGTTTTTTTAAATTTTTAGTTGTAGATGAACACAATGCCTTTATTTTGTTTATTTATTTTTCTTTATGGGGTACTGGGAAGCAAACCCAGTGCCTTACATGTGCTGGGCAAGAGCTCTACCACTGAGCTACAACCCCAGCCACTGCAGATCATTTTTGGCAGTATCAAATTACCAGTGATCAACAAGAGAAAGAAAGTTAATGTTTTTATCAGCTTTAGGTTAGTTCTGTTTTAAAAAAAATCATTTGTTGGTAAATTTTCATTGAATAAAACAGTGTGTGACAACTTAAAGCACCCATTATCTTACTGAAGATTTAGTTGGAGAAACATTATCTTTAGCTGGAAAGTCTTTCACTTTCACATTAGAAATAAGATTAGAAATTGTCAAGCTGAGACCATTTTGGGTTGTAGGAGTTTTTGTGGCCCCTGGTAAAAGGCTTTGGAACATTGAATGGACGGACGTGCCTATGAGTGATGTAAGGAGAGACTGGACCTTATTTGGATGAAGACTGAGACAGCTTGTTTTGGTGGCAGTAATGAAAAAAATGAAATCTTAAAGTGGATCTACGAGCATGTGAAGAGCAAAGAGTTAACCTGCAGCCACTTGGCCATGCTTAGTGGTTAATTTGACCAATTTGTTAGTAGCGCCTTCAAACAGATGGTAATGAAATCTTTGGGACTCATTTTCTCCATGGGAAAATGAACATATTACTGTTCCTCTCTATGCATAGAAAGTTCACGAGTCCAGTCATAATTTCATTGGCGATTTCCTTACTCCCACTTTATTCAGCAGCAACAAGAAATAGGTCTTGATTTAAACTACTTGGATATGCTTATTGTAGGAAACATGTATGTTTAGAACTCATCTGTTACCACAATAGGGGAGGTGGTAGGCAGGCATCTACCATAGCCCAAACTCAGGCTCTCAGAGTGCCTATTTCTGGAGGAAAATGGAACGAACTCTGAAGGCTGCACCACAGATTTGGCTGGCAGCTGCTGAGATGAGGGTATGATGTGTCCTTTCACACCTTCTGTTAAAGAAAGCATTTTTACACAGGCTGATTCCATCAAAGGCTAAAAAGAGATCCCTCCCAGAACCGAAAAAAATAGTGTTATTCCTTCCATATGGCATGAACACTGTTGTTATAAATTATCTGACTGAAAGCCCCAGCAGACATTTTCATTGTAATCGAGTGCAATAAAATGGAGAAATGAGTGTCTTCAGTTGAACAGTGGGTTATATTATGTAAGACATGCAAACAGACCATTCACAATGCATATGAGGAATTTTGGGGTGGGGTTGAAGGGAATAAGCAGAATATATCTGGCACTGGTGATGCTTTATATTTTGAGTCATCCCCCCACAGTATTTTATATGACTATCATTACCAAAATTGGTGCTGACAAAATTTACTGTTTTATAAAGTGAATCACCAATACTCCATCAGTCACGTGCAAAGACTGGAATATAACCAGATTTAGGACATACTGAACATCTTTTAATGTTAGTAGGGAAATGTGGAGAGTACAATAGTAATCTATTTAAAACCACCACCTTGAATTAAATGTTTCTTTCAATTATTTATGTTGGCTCTTCAGGGTTCCTATAGAAGAAGAATTCTGCTAGTGAAATTTTGACTTCTTTCCATAGTTAGAAATAGCTCCCTGGTGTTTTGGTTTTATAGGCAAAGACTTGAATTCTTCTCATCAGGAGTTATGTGAGCATTGTGTTCTCTCTTTTCCCAGCACCAAAATGCCATTTTCTCAAGTCGCACCATGCTGAGAGCACCATTGATGAGTGGTCTGTCCCTAGTATTGAGAGATTCCTCTTGTTTTGTGTTTGTCACAGTGATTTGTGAAAGCTCTTGGGAAATGGAGAGATGCATACTCAGGTCCAGAAATGTCTGAAAGGGTATTGTGGAAGAGTTGCTGCCCTACTAGAGGAACAAGGTGGACACCTTTCATAGGGCATCCACAGAGCTCCCTCTAGGGCACTCATCTTTTGCTATCCATTTGATATCTTCTGGAGTTTTCTCACCTCTAAAATCAGAATAATGTGAATTTTCAGAGGATTATGTAATACTGATGCCTGAGAATTTTATTTGAAAATGCATTTCAAAGTAAACAGTAGATTTTAAACATGATGCATCCAGTCCATTGAGCCTATGCAAGTAAATCTTGTGTACTTGGTACTTTTCTAAGAACTGTTGATGCTGAGTCTTAGAAGTCCTCTTGGTCAATAACTGCCACTTTTCATGTGGCTTAGAATAGTCGCCCTAGAATTCTACTTTTGCTGTGCTTCTCATTTATCAACCTACTTTATTAGTTATTGACGTTGCTCTATGACCAGTAGAAATTCATTGTGTTTTAGCTATTGGTCAGTTCAAACAGTCACGTCCTTTTCATTTTCTGGTGCAGAGACGAGCCACCCTTGTGCTTGTATTGGTGGTGAGCAATCTGAGGTAGTTCTTCATTAACTGAAAGGAAGAATGCCAGTTAGTAATTTGCAGACAGCTGAGTTCCATTGGTTCTTTACAGCTCATAAGTGGCGACTAAGCTAGCTTTCTGAATGGTGGCCCTAGTGAGTTAGAGAAGCCCAGGTCTTCAGTGCAAGTCAGAACTCACCATCTCAGCCACTTCTAAAGAAAAGGTCAAGATTGTCGGACGGAACTGTGACCACCCACAGAGCAGGCCCAGCGGCCTGCTGAGG